TGTTAATAAACATGGAGACACTCAAAGGCCCTTGTATTCATATTCCTTTACACAATTTTTTACACAAATACAATTTTTTATTTGTTTTATCTGATTTTTTTATAATTCAACAACACAAAGTATAGGACAACTGTAAATTCAAATGTAGATAATGAAGATGAATAGTTTAGAAATTTTAGCAGGACTTAAAAAGGAGTGTCCATAGATGCTCTTATATAATAACACTGAGTTTAAGCTATTTTGGAAACAAGCACTATCAAAAGATTTTTGCAGATTGATGTGCAGAGCTGGTGAAAAAAATGCCCATATTAATGATGGTTTTGCATTTGAGTATTTTAAGTATTTAAGTCCCTTTTTACCTTGTCCTTCACAACCATGCACTTCCCTATATAAGACAATACCAGGACACATCAAGGGTTGGGAATGCTTTTTCAAGGAACTCTGTAAAGCAATTCAGTAGGATACCCATGCAACTGTTCTGGATTCTGATTATATGTGCTTTTTTTTGTTATTTTTTATATGTCTCTTAGAAAAGTCAATCAAATATAGAAAAAGTCCAAAAAAGACTTCAGCAAAGGTTGAACAGCTTTCAAAAAACCAATGCTTTCCTGTAGGTGAATATGTTTGTCAGCACTTATCTTCTTATGCAGACTGGCTGCTTCAAGTTTCTCAACTAATCTTTCCGACAAGCAGTATCACCCTCTGGAGACTAATATCTTGTGTCGGAGGAAAGGGTGGCAAACTGTACCAAAATGTTATTCCTCATTCTGTTCCTGTGGCCCATCTCTCCACAATGATGCATGTTGTTTGCAGTGCTAAAAAAATGAAAAGAAGCATAACTGGATCCAGCTAGTTTTTCTTAAGTTACATCTGTTACTTATTCTTGTAAGCATTGCAAAACTTTGTGATATATAAAATGCAATGCATACAATTTCTGGTTGTCCAGTCATATCTTAAAATAGTTTACAATGCTTACTTTTTTGCTGGCTGGTGGTAGAGAGCTTCTCTGTGTTGCACAGTCTGAACTGAAAAGTAATGGTATGCATGTTTCTTTTGTAATTCATTTTTTGGCATAGAGTCATAAAGTGCTGAAACAGAGCCAACTGAAAAGACCTTGAATTTTGCAGTGCTATCCTCCCCTCTGGATGCTTCTCCATTCATGAGTGAAGTCCCTTGATACTTTTGAAAGAAATTAATAAATTCAAGAAGCAAGTGCATATTAATATATTTTTTTTTACAGACAGAGGTTCATTTGTAGCCCATAGCTGGATCGACAGATGTAAGACTCACCAACGTGGGGGTTTGAATCTAAAAAAAACAAACAAAAAACTGCAACATTAATATTAATAAGCAAGATGGCAGAGTTTGTGGCCTTCTGGAGCTCTGTAGGAGGTAGGATGTTTTCAGAGGAAGAAAAGCTGAATGTTTCAGGAGGATAAAAAGTCAATTACTCCACGTCTGTCGGATGATTTGGGTATGAATGCCTACAGGCCCTCTGAGTTGGGAGACAGTTCAGCTTTTGACAGCTTATCCTCACACCCACTTAATGATACATCATATCCAATGTATGCCAATACTAAAAAGTGAGAAGAATAAATAAATAAAATGCTTGTCTTATGATGCTAATAAAAGCATTTGCTTGCCTAATGATTCCTGACATAGAGCTACACAGGGACGTGCCCAAAGGCAGTCATGGTGCTTCAGAGATACCTGCTGATTCTGTTATGAAGTACAGCAGATGTTAATGAGTTTTGAGCATTTGTTCTTTCCGTCAGATAATGATGGCCTTGTACTTTTTTTTTAAGATAAAGATGGAAATCTACACTTCATTGATGAATATAATTATATACACTCATAACAAAGATGAATGTTAAACTGACTGTTTTCTTCAGGTGGAAGGTGTTGGAAGCACCAAACCAGATTCAGTATAAAAGATTAGAAAAACAAAGAGATTGTTGGTCAGGTTTTTGATTTACTGGCTCAAACATTTACATGCATAATGTGTAAAACTTCACTGCTACTTACATTTGATTAAATGGTTTGCAGGAAGTTGTGTCTTAAAGCGCAAGCTTTAGTCATTAAAAAAGCTATTCTGACTAAATAATTGGTCACTCTTATTTGTCTGGTTATATTAAGCATAGTTAAACTGATTGGTTAAAAAAACAAGACCCTACCAATCGAATGAAGTAAAAATACAGCAAGTAAAAGCTAGTTAGAAATAAATACATTTTAAGAACAATTCAGGAGCCTCCAAGCCTTAAGTCTCTATGAACTATAAGATACTGGGAGAGCAGCATTACTGTCCTAAGGCCAGTTTCACATAAACTGAGTGAGTGAGGATCAAAAAGAAGCCTTTGCTCCAAAATACACACATTTAAGCTTAGCTGAGTTTTGCAACAAATGTCTCGCTGATGACAGTTTTATTATCAGAGGAGACAAAGACATGCTGTGTGGCTAGAATAATGTTTGTTGGGGTCAAAATAAGGTTCTCAAACCTAAGAACAATGTAGCAGCTGTTAGTTGATGGTTAAAACAAGGACATAGAGTACATGTAGCTGTGTGTTTTAGTACTGCAAAGATCCCAACCACACATTAAACTGCTTTGAAATGGATAAATTAGGCAAATGATGGGCCTCTAGATTGTCTCCATCCTCAACCGTTATGGTAATTTGGGTTTACATGAAGAAATGAGCTAATGAATTTAAAAGAATTCATTTGTTTCTGATTAAAACAGTGCACTTATAAACTTAAGCCCAGCGTTTTTGGATCGCATTAAAACGTTTGTAAGCGTTTTGTAACTGCTGAAGGACCTTTAGCTAAAAATGTAGATGTTCAATGTATTTTTGATTTTGTTGATATTGAGCAAATGCATTCACTTATGGATTCTCAATAAGGTTTATGAGGGACAGGTGCTTATCTGCAGGCAAAATCATGGCTACCCTGTGCTGGTCAGAAGTTCGTAGACTTGAGAAACAACAATATATCATATACAAACGGTACAAACTGAGGACATTTTATGACTATTTTTTTGTTTGCCTTTTTTCCATCATCGTGTTTTTGTAGATTGCAGGGTAAGAGGTGCATTTACTGTGACACACTGTGCCACATTAGATTTGATTAGACATCGAGGCAAAAGTGCTATAATGATGCACCTAATGCATGTTTCTTTTGTCACTGTTCTGTTTCAGAGGAAATTGATTCGAATAAAATCCCACGGGTGCTATCAACAGTGAATAGAATAAAGCAATTAATGCCAACATGCTACTGAAAGCAACGCCCTGTGTATACACCACATTAAGCTATGATTTTTAAACTGCGGGATGCCTATTTGTAATGCAAATATGGAAAGCTCAAAGATGTACGCTGTTACGCCCAGCCTGGCTAGGGGTCCAGCATGCAGGAGTTGGCTAATTACTTTAGCTCTTTCGATTAGAGGGCAACCCTGCATAAGTCAAGTGAAAATCTCCATCACCGCCTCCTCTGTATTCTCTTCCATTACCCCTGTGTAAAGGTTTCATCTGAATTCATGTCACACAAAAGTCCTATTCTCCGATCTCCTGTGCATCCCCAGGATAATTGGGTTGAAAGCATCTTCCCTTTCTCCATCCACCGCCCCTTGGTCCAAATAAATAAATAAGGAGACAATGGTGGCAGTGTTTTCTGTAGGGGGAGTAAGGAGAGCGTACGAAGAGATGAGAGATGCCAGGAGCACAGGGACCAGTTATCCCCTCTTATAATCCCACTAGTCCCTACCACAGTCTCTGCGCCACATGGAATTTGCATAAGGACCTGTGGTGCTGCCCTTAATTTAGCCTTCCTTAAGCACCCTCAAATATCCACCCGACAAGCCGCGGCCCTTTATTCCATCAAAAAAATTGCATGCCCTTCTCAGTTGCGCTGATAGAACAAAGGCTGACACTGAAATTCCTAATGTGATACTTCAAGGATTATATTTATTATAGAGCAAAACATCTGTTTCAGTCCACGCAGCAGGTGAAAAGGATCAAGCCTCGGTTCATTTCTTTAAACCATTTCAGGTGTGTTTTAGATTTTCTCATTATAAAGGTTGCCTCCTGTTCTGGACTCATGGTTACATCTCTTAGTGGTTTTGTGCCTGTTTGTCCTTTAACATTTGCATTTGTTTTCTCCTTGGTGTGTCTCTGTGACAGCAGTGCTTGTTGTCTGATAATGAGCTGCTGTTGTGTGTTTCTCTGAACACTCTGTGGGGCGAGAGGTTATCTCTCTAAAGGTCTACCTGGGGGGTGATTAGATACAAGGCCACAGTTGTTCATCAGACCACCCACTGGTTTTTGTGTGTTAGCGCATATTTGGATGTGTGTAAAAGTGTATGTGTACATCACTACCAAAGTAAAGAAGCCCTGTTAGCCTTCACAAGTGAATGACACCAGCCTTCAGGGCATTCTGCGTGTGTTTGTTCTCTTCTTCCACTGGGACCTCCATTAGCTCCAATTAGCTTTCACTTTGCTTTGCCCAATTGGATGAAGCTGCATATTCCATTTTAATAGCTTAGATAGATCCTGCTACTTTCAAAGTGAAAACTCACATTAATGAATGCAAGATAATGCATTTTGAAATGATTTTTTTACTCTTGCACTGATGTATATCTATCTATCTATCTATCTATCTATCTATCTATCTATCTATCTATCTATCTATCTATCTATATATCTATCTGGTTATGCCTTGCATAAGTGACGACAATAGACCTCATTCTATTTTCTTTGTTATTATGATCACAGAATATTGCATATTTGTAAAGATATAAAGACTCGTTTTCAACTAATTTGTCAGTTGAAGTATTAAAGTACAAATTACTTTGTTATTAAAAATGAAACCCAGTGCAATCGGTTTATCTTTCATAGACCAGTACATCTGAAAGGTCATGGTTATAATCTGATGAAATGTGCAAAATTGAAATGCAAGGTACTGCATGCATTTCTGCACTACTTTTCTCTTACTGGGTGCTTCTTCTCACACAGTGTTGCGAGATGACTTCAGACAGAATCCATCTGATGTGGTGGTGGCAGTTGGAGAGCCAGCAATACTTGAATGTGTCCCTCCCAGAGGTCATCCTGAACCCACCATCTTCTGGAGGAAAGACAAAGTGCAAATCGATGACAAGGACGACAGGATAAGCGTAAGTATTGTTATAAATCATTTATCCAGCTGTTCCAGCAACTGTTATACCATAAACCTCAGTATATTTTAGATAAATTTAATTGTGTCCAATGAACAGTTGTGTAAGAAGAGGCTTTTATGTTCTAATGCTTAAGATTTCATTCAACAGTCGCAATTATTAAATACTAAGACTCCTTCAGTGTGGTTTTTATTTCCAAAATAATTCCAACAGTTCCATGAAGGTCTCAGACTTTTGTGGAGGCATTTAGTGAATATACTGCACCGTAACCTTAGCAACATACTAAAACCACACATCTTGTGGAAGCAGTTGAAAAGAAACTTAAAGATGAGTTATATTATAAATCAGTATCTCAATTTATGGAAATTCCACTGTTTGATCTATCATCTGGAAAAATAAAAGGACACCACTGGAGTATAATATAAAAAAATATATAAAACAGTGGTGAAAAAACAAAACACTTACTGTTGGGAGAAAACCATAAGAAGTCTTGCATCTACATGTAACACCATGTTGAAACATGGTTATGGCAGCACCATGCTATGGGGATGCTTTTCTTGTCTAAGGGTAGCCAGTTAGAGAGGATGAAAAGATTGATTGGGGAAATAAGGCCTGTCATTGAACAGTACTTTTTAAAGGTTGAAATATACCCCTGGGGCTTGCAGAGTATTGCAATACTTGTGTCCCCAAATAAATTTACATAGAAAGACTTTGCTCTGTTACAAACATCCAAAATAGTGATTCACAAAAGACTACTATGTTTAATCATATTTTTTTTCCTCCTTTAGATCCGAGGAGGGAAGCTCATGATCTCAAACACAAAAAAGAGTGATGCTGGCATGTATGTGTGTGTGGGCAAAAACATGGTTGGAGAGCGGGAGAGTGAGACGGCTCAAGTAACAGTGTTTGGTAGGCAACATTTCCATATTCTCCTTTTAATTTCTACCTGATTTTTGCCATGGAGGCATGACATCTATCAGAGTTATTGCATATTTCATGAAAATTATACCTTTGGCCAAGTGCCCACAGAATTATATTTGAAACCCTTTCTAGCAGACTTGTCATGCTAGGTTTCACTGTTTTAAGCACATTTATTGATTTTAGATGTTTGAAGTTCCTATTATGTTCTTATGATATTGTATAAAGCTAAAGTGAAATGGATCAATCAGGCTAGTTGGAAGTTTGCTTTTTTCACCATTGGGTTCAGGGTACTATTCCAAAATGTTTTTTGCAGAATGTTGATTGTTGTAAAACAGACATGTTGGAAAAAATATGAAATTGTTTATGAAAGATGATCCTGTTAGAGAAATAGAGTAGATAAAAGAAGATGCCAATGTGTCTCTCTGCCCATCTTGCAGAGCGACCAACCTTCCTTCGGAAGCCAATCAACCAGGTGGTCTTAGAAGAGGAGCTGGTTGAGTTTCGATGCCAAGCACAAGGAGACCCCCCACCAACTGTTCGCTGGAGGAAAGATGACATTGATGTTCCTCGTGGGAGGTACTTTATCTGCTTTGAAGAAAATATTAAAAGAAAAAAATCTCTGATTTCAGAACTGATGTGACAGACTAAATTTAGTATTGCAGTAACAGTACCACAGTCAGTTAGCTCTGCGTAAGCTGAACTTATTTCAAATCATGCATTTAGGGGAAAATTAAAGTAGCACAAGTTTGGGGTCTATGTTCCCTCTTTTTTTAAACTATGCTGAATAACAATACATTTTTATAATACAAGATAAAATGGTGTCAAAGGGCAGACCAAAACCAGACCGCGGCAGACCAAACCAGACAAAAGTGCGCATTCAGCGTCTGCTCTGCCGATAATACAAGCGTAGAAGAAGAAATGTGCTGTTTACCTGTGCAAAGAAAGAAACAACGAAAGAAAAATGTCTGAGGACTTCAGTGTTGAGGAAGAGCATGAGTTCTTTGCCGAGCTGAATGCGCACTTTCGTCTGGTTTGGTCTGCCTCGGTTTCCGTAGACTCGTGAACACGCTTTTTGGAAATCCTATACACTACTGTTTATGCTCTAAAAACATTCTAAATGACTTTGTTTCGAGTAAATTATGAATCATGTTTTGGGTGTACTATTCCTTTAAGATTCAGAATATGATTTAAAGCACTAAGTGACTTTTAACAACGTTTAATGACTTTAATTAGATATATATTAAACAATTTTTCATGGCAATATACAGTAAAGCACTTGGTTTTATAGATGCCCTATGCGGACTGCCCTTCACAACAACCTGCCGATGTAATTTAGGAGGGTTTGATCTGTAACTGAACGGGTAATGTGACACAGAATGCCACTCTTCAACAGTCTAAACTCCACTTAAACAGATGAGCTACTGTAACTAAGCTAGAAAGTGTTGTAAGGCAACATCAGATTAGACATACAGTATTGCTGGTTCTCTGATGGTCCAAGGTGGTCTGTTTTCACATGCCAAAAAATAGAGGGACACTGTTTGATTTTAGCACAGTGCAGTGTTGCCTGTTTCTCTTACCACTTGTTTTCACCTAAACTGGAAATGGAGCTGTGCGGCTTTATAGGACTGATCGCAGCAATTGTTATCAAGAATGGTTCCACATAAACTAGCACAGTGCATTTCAATCAATCAATCAACTTTATTGTCAACAACAATGAACATTGCAATCGAGATTTCAGTATCAGTACAAACCGTTCATCGGGCAACAGTTCTACTGAGGCCATACGTGCCGCAGAACACTGCCTTTGGCGCGTTCTTATGGCTTTCCAGGATCACACTGTGAGACAGTAACCTATAGCACTGCCTTTCGGAAGTGTTGGCTGTTTCACTAAAATAGCTGTCTGTTCTATTTTGGCCCCTACAGTATGTATTCAAATCTACCTAATTAAGAGGAAAGGGGATTTGGTCGAATTTACAAATTAAAGACCACATGTACAGGCTTTGGATTGCATTTCCATGACTCTTATGTAATAAAAACATATGGTCATATAGTTAATTAACAGTCATAATAAAGATGACCATTAAATTGAAACACAACCACAAAAAAAAAATTATAAATCTTACTTACCAATAATGCAGAAAGCAAATGTAAACTGATTAAATAAAGAGCAGCTAAGGGGGGTGCTCTTATCAAAATTTCATTGGTCTCTTAGTAGTTAATAAAATACACCTACATTTCTGAGGTATTACTTCTAACATTAGCCTGAGGGTAAAGGTTATGGCAAAATCAGCGAAGAAGAATAATATTAAAAATAAGAATCACATTTGATCTGTCAGCTAATGACAGCAGAACTGCCACAACAGATCAGGAAAACAGGACCAAAAGTGGTCTAGAAATTATCTTACTCATAAAACCCAATCTATCACTTGAAGGGGTAGGATTTACACTTTCCACTCTCCTCACTCTACTGCAGTGGAGTATGAGTACAGTATAAGTACTATTGTGCTTAGCGCCTTCAACTTCATGGAGGAGTCTTCAGGTGACAAAATGTTTGTATATATATATATATATATATATATATATATATATAGACACAGTCTGTCTTCATTGATGAATACCTGGAGCTGTTTTCAATTTAAGGTTTTCACACATTGATTCATTCTATATAATAATTGACAAATACACTGCAGAGTTTAACACATACATACTAATTGAATGTGAACTAATCCTGAATTATTTTGAAAGTTCACACATTTCTTAGATAAAAAAAAAAAACATGATTATCCATGTATTATAACTTTTAACACATATCAACAGACATTCAATCTTATTTTGGGTCATAAAACATTTACATTTTAAAGGTCCAGGAGACAGTATGTGGGATATGAAGAAGCTCTAAAAGGTCCGTCATGGATATATTTTTGGTACTCAGAGAAAACAGATGTAAGTTAAATGTCAAATTTATGTCTTTTTTATTACACCATACAAAAACACAGTCAGAATAATAAGAGCTACAAAGGGATGACAGGAGCCTCCAGTGTCTGTGTACAGCTGCAGCTGTTCAAAGGAAGACTTGGCATACAGGCGGTAAAACTGTGGAAGATAACCATTCTTTCTATAAACATTTGACCTCATGCACTCAGTCAGTGTATAAAGATCCATTCAGTCACAACTGCAAGAACAGAAGAGAGAGTAAGGACAGTGTGTAGTTTACCAAGCATACAGTGATACAGCTGTTGCCAGATGCTGTGTGTACGTGTCTGTGAATCAACCTCTCCTCGCTTTGACTCATTTTAGTCATGGTCACTATTGGTGTCAGCATAAGGAGCGGACTTCAAAGAGACCAGTGTCCTGTCCTCAGCCAGCAGGCCGGTCGCCTTTTGCTTGGATCACCTCATAAAACATACACTCAGCGGACCTGACATCTCCCAAGGCTAGTTGCAGAACTGAGCGTAGGCGGCTTGTTTGCGTCTGATAAGGATTTGGTTCACTGGGCAGTGGGATGTGAGCCCTGTGCCAAGGCAAACACATAAAAGTGTTTCACTCTAGTCTTTGATAGGGAGTTGGCTCTGGAATCAAGTTCATTTTGTACACTAATTAACAGATTTATTGTGGAGTTGGATATGTGTCATGTGTGCCTACATCCTCCCTGACTGTAACATCCCTTTGAAGTGTGGCCATACTTTGGAGTGATAAACAGGCGAACTATAGAGCAAAAATTAAAAAGAGATAAATATTACATTGCCACTAATTGCAATCTACAAATACTTTTGACTGAGCTGTATTTAGTATTGCCAGCGAAAATGTGCATTTAGTTAAAAATATTTCAATTCTGACATTTTCTTCCTGCTTTCTCTACCCCTTATCATCATGTGGAAAACATCAAGGCCTGATGGGTTTCCCCGCTCAGGGAAAGTTTCCAGTTTGATTGCTTTCAAATGCACTGAAAAAGGAGAACCAGGAACAGCAACACTGCCTTTCTGGTATCTGACTTTGTGTAAAAAGGAATAAAAGCCCATAGTAGATCAAATAGTTTCTACACAGTGGGGAGTGGTCTCTGTTTGTTTTTTCATCCCAAAAGGTTACACTGTCCTTATTATTATGATAAGCTGTAGAAAGAAGCTGAGACTTAGCAGGACCGCTTCTCTTTATCATTGGATTGTTTCAACTTGTCTTTGCTGGTTCCTTTACATGCCTCCAGTCTCTTAGTGGGTTTTCTGTATGTGCTGCTTTCATGCAGCCCGGGAGAGGTTTGAGGGGGGTGGCTCAGCTGAGTAAACAGGTTGTTAATATGCTCAGTGGCTCCAGCTGCTTCAGAGGCAAACACATGCACACACTGGAACATACAGTGCTGATCAAAAGCGCCAAGGTGGCAGCGCCTTCTATCTCTGTGGGACAGGGGAGTAGATTGAGATGAAACCAACCAAAGCTTTGCATTACAGAACAGGGTGACTAGTTAATTTTTGCATATGAGTTTTATGAAGGTATTTGTGAAGTAAATTAAAATTGAAAAACAGTATCTTCCATAGTATATATATATCAAGCTGTTTTGTAGAGCATTGTAACAGAAAAACAAGAGCAGGGTTTATGACAATGAGGAATCTCAGAGATGAATCACTAACATTATTAAAGTAACAGTATTAAAGAATAGATCAGATTATTTTGCTGTGGGACATTTGTGTGTAAATGATAAATGGCCTGTACTTATGCATTATTAGCTGGGTATTGAAGTATAGATTTTTAGACTAGGATTTTATATAAACATTTTTTTTAGATGAAGGAAAACAAGAAAAAGCAGGTAATCTTGTTCTGTGTTTTTGGGTCCATGACATCACCAGAGACACAATAAACAAGCTGATCAGCAGCATTTAAGAAATACAATGCAACTACTAGCTCTAAATGTAAAACCAAAACGAAAAAGCAAAAAAAAGTAAAATTTAAATAGGTACGTTAACAATTCTGATAATTTTTCTTATGTTGTTCTATGACGCCAACAGAAAAATGCATGTAAAATTCCTTTATAGGAGAGTGAATATGATAAACACAAAACTGTCAACCAATGACTTGAAAAATTACAAGCATTTTATTCATTTATTCTTCTCACTTGTTAGTGTACGTTGGGCATTGAAAGGATCATGTGGTGTGTTTCATCATATGGTGCGCCATGTTTTTAAATGTTAAACATTGATGAGTCCAGAGTGACAGATGATAGTAAAGGGAAATCAAACTTTAGTAACCCGACAGTTCATTATTACATATTTTAAATAGCCCCCTAGAGAGATATCAACTTCTGGCAGGAAAGTAATGTCCTGTTTTACAGGGAGTTCTCACTGAAGCAATCTTTGTAAAGTTTATCTTTCCATCAATATGAAGAAAACATTAGGTAAATGGGGCTTAAACTTTTTTTTTTTTGCTTCAGGCAGGTATAAAGTCACTGACCAGCACATTTATCATTCAAATCACATGGTTTTAACAAAAATATTCATTGTTCTTATTTGTTATTTATTTAGAAGTATGTCTAAATTAGCAATATTGTTTACTAACAGATGCATAGTGTTATTTTGAAATGAAAGAAG